TACTGTCTCTCTCTATTACAGTTTGTGCTCAAGGAGCGTATTGTCTGGCTCTATTACAGTTTGTGCTCTAGGAAAGTACTGTCTCTCTCTATTACAGTTTGTGCTCTAGGAACGTTATGTCTCTCTCTATTACAGTTTGTGCTCTAGGAACGTAATGTCTCTCTCTATTACAGTTTGTGCTCTAGGAACGTAATGTCTCTCTTTATTACAGTTTGTGCTCTAGGAAAGTACTGTCTCTCTCTATTACAGTTTGTGCTCTAGGAACGTAATGTCTCTCTCTATTACAGTTTGTGCTCTAGTAACGTACTGTCTCTCTCTATTACAGTTTGTGCTCTAGGAACGTACTGTCTCTATTACAGTTTGTGCTCCAGGAACGTACTGTCTCTCTTTATTACAGTTTATGCTCTAGGAAAGTACTGTCTCTCTCTATTACAGTTTGTGCTCTAGGAACGAAATGTCTCTCTCTATTACAGTTTGTGCTCCAGGAACGTAATATCTTTCTCTATTACAGTTTGTGCTCTAGGAACGTAATGTCTCTCTTTATTACAGTTTGTGCTCTAGGAACGTACTGTCTCTCTCTATTACAGTTTGTGCTCTAGGAAAGTACTGCCTCTCTCTATTACAGTTTGTGCTCTAGGAATGTAATGTCTCTCACTATTACAGTTTTTGCTCTACGAACGTAATGTCTCTCTCTATTACAGTTTGTGCTCTAGGAACGTAATGTCTCTCTTTATTACAGTTTGTGCTCTAGGAAAGTACTGTATCTCTCTATTACAGTTTGTGCTCTAGGAACGTAATGTCTCTCTCTATTACAGTTTGTGCTCTAGTAACGTACTGTCTCTCTCTATTACAGTTTGTGCTCTAGGAACGTAATGTCTCTGTCTATTATAGTTTGTGCTCTAGGAACGTACTGTCTCTCTCTATTACAGTTTGTAATCTAGGAACGTAATGTCTCTCTCTATTACAGTTTGTGCTCTAGGAACGTAATGTCTCTCTCCATTTTAGTTTGTGCTCTAGGAACGTAATGTCTCTCTCTATTACAGTTTGTGCTCTAGGAACGTAATGTCTCTCTTTATTACAGTTTGTGCTCTAGGAACGTAATGTCTCTCTTTATTACAGTTTGTGCTCTAGGAACGTACTGCCTCTCTCTATTATAGTTTGTGCTCTAGGAACGTACTGTTTATCTCTATTACAGTCTGTGCTCTAGGAACGTACTGTCTCTCTTTATTACAGTTTGTGCTCTAGGAACGTAATGTCTCTCTTTATTACAGTTTGTGCTCCAGGAACGTAATGTCTCTCTATTACAGTTTGTGCTCTAGGAACGTAATGTCTCTCTTTATTACAGTTTCTGCTCTAGGAACGTACTGCCTCTCTCTATTATAGTTTGTGCTCTAGGAACGTACTGTTTATCTCTATTACAGTCTGTGCTCTAGGAACGTACTGTCTCTATTACAGTTTGTGCTCTAGGAACGTACTGTCTCTCTCTATTACAGTTTGTGCTACAGGAACGTACTGTCTCTCTCTATTACAGTTTGTGCTCCAGGAGCGTACTATCCCTCTCTATTATAGTTTGTGCTACAGGAACGTACTGTCTCTCTCTATTGCAGTTTGTGCTACAGGAACGTACTGTCTCTCTCTATTACAGTTTGTGCTACAGGAACGTACTGTCTCTCTCTACTACAGTCTGTGCTCTAGGAACGTACTGTCTCTCTCTATTACAGTTTGTGCTCCAGGAGCGTACTATCACTCTCTATTACAGTTTGTGCGCTAGGAACATACTATCCCTCTCTAATACAGTTTGTGCTCTAGGAACGTACTGTCTCTCTCTATTACAGTTTGTGCTTCAGGAGCGTACTATCCCTCTCTATTATAGTTTGTGCTACAGGAACGTACTGTCTCTCTCTACTACAGTCTGTGCTCTAGGAACGTACTGTCTCTCTCTATTACAGTTTGTGCTACAGGAACGTATGGTTCAGAATGTAATAATTTCTGTCATTGTTTGAACTATGATAAATGTGATGATGTTATAACTGGTCAATGTCCTAATGGATGTCAGACAGGATGGTATGGAGGTAGCTGTAATACTAGTAAGTCTAATTCCATTTTTAGGATTAATTCATAAAAAGGATATAATTCTGTTTGATTAACCAATTCCTCTCTAAACGCCTCTTAACCAGCATTTCACGGGTAATATTGTTGCACGACCTCCAGCCAAAATAACGTAATTTACTATAAATACGGATATAGATGTAGTAAACGATGTAACAAGAGACATTGTAAAGGATCACAACACTGTCATCATATAACAGGACAATGTACTGATGGTTGTAAACTAGGTTATAAAGGAGATGATTGTACATTGAGCAAGTTTTGAATCGAACTGTCTACATTTATCAATGATAAAATATCAAGAAATCTCAGTCACATATAACATTCTTTATATTATATTTCAGGTTGTCAAAGTGGTAAATATGGAGATAGATGTAATCAACGATGTAACAAGAGACATTGTAAAGGATCACAACACTGTCATCATATAACAGGACAATGTACTGATGGTTGTAAACCCGGTTATATAGGAGATGATTGTATATTGAGTAAGTTTTGAATCGAACTGTCTACACTTATCAATAACAAAATATCAAGAAATCTCAGTCCTATATAAAATTCTTTATATTATATTTCAGGTTGTCCAAATGGTGCCTATGGAGATAATGATGATTGTACATTGAGTAAGTTTTGAATCGAACTGTCTACACTTATCAATGATAAAATATCAAGAAATCTCAGTCACATATAACATTCTTTATATTATATTTCAGGTTGTCAAAGTGGTAAATATGGAGATATATGTAATCAACGATGTAACAAGAGACATTGTAAAGGATCACAAGAATGTCATCATATAACAGGACAATGTACAGATGGTTGTAAACCAGGTTATAGAGGAAATGATTGTATAAAAAGTAAGTCTGTCTTGATTTTAACAGAATACATTTCCCTGAAACTTATATGATAACAAGGATTCACAGTCTCAGATATGTTTTATTTTAGAATGCCAGAATGGTGCCTATGGAGATATATGTAGTAAAGGATGTGACAATAGGCAGTGTAAAGGATCACAAGACTGTCATCATATAACTGGAAATTGTACTGATGGTTGTAAACCAGGTTATAGAGGAAATGACTGTATAAAAAGTAAGTCTGTCTTGATTTTAACAGAATACATTTCCCTGAAACTTATATAATAACAAGGATTCACAGTCTCATATATTTTTTATTTTAGAATGCCAGAAACGTGCCTATGGAGATATATGTAGTAAAGGATGTGACAATAGGCAGTGTAAAGGATCACAAGACTGTCATCATATAACTGGAAATTGTACTGATGGTTGTAAACCAGGTTATAGAGGAAATGACTGTATAAAAAGTAAGTCTGTCTTGATTTTAACAGAATACATTTCCCTGAAACTTATATAATAACAAGGATTCACAGTCTCATATATGTTTTATTTTAGAATGCCAGAATGGTGCCTATGGAGATATATGTAGTAAAGGATNGTGACAATAGGCAGTGTAAAGGATCACAACACTGTCCTCATATAACAGGGAAATGTTATAATGG